TTTATTAAAACATTAATTTAAAAACTAATTAAATTCAAAAATGTCTTTTACCTACCTATAAATAGCTGAAAACGAGTCGAAATATTTTGAAAATTGTATGGTGTATAGTGCTTATTTTCACATCAGTGAAACTTCCATTTATTATTTTACCTACATAGTATACATTTTTGCTCCTCACCAAAAATTAGTTCAACACACCACTGAATTATGCTATAGAACTTGTTAATTAATAATAAACAAAAATATGAAGGTATAGTAATATAGTTATATACTTATATAAGTTACATTTTATAAAAAGGTATTTCAATTTATATGTGACAAATGAAAATAAGGTATAGTTATACATTTAGAGTAAGTGTGTTAAATTTTAAATTTTGTGATACAACTCATGTACTTTTGTGTATAGTTTTCCTATTATTTATATTTTAGGACTTGTTAACTATTAGTTACAATTTAAACCCTAAAATTCAACATGACTAATATAATGGTTACTTATAATGGGGTCAAAAAGAAAATATAAAACAATAAACATTTAAAATGTTACATTTTCATAACAATTTTAAAAAGGCCAAACATTTTCTGGAAAATGACTTTTATTGACCCAAGCCACAGATTTTACCCAGTCATCCCTATCTAAGCAATATTTACCTTTCAATTACATTTCTTGTCCTGATGTGGCTCTCATTATAAAATTGCTGGCTTCGCGTGGTAGGGTTGAGAAGAGGAGTCATAAGGTAGGGCTTAACTTCATAGCCAACGTCACTTAACAGGTAACCTTTTATGACTCCTGTTTCAAATTTATGTTTAATATTCGAGTTATCAAAAATTATTTGATCATGGCATGATCCTKGCCATCGCGCCACTATGTCCATAATTTTGAGCCATGGGTTACAAATGCATTGGGTATTTATAGAAAACCAACATTTCCGGTTTCTAAAAATTTCTGCATTATCTCCACCTTAAAAAATTATGACAAACCGTGGTTAAATAAAACAGAACATAGGTAGCTGATGGCAATAGTATTTATATGTWATGCCTACCTGGTGACTGAATTTTTATGTGGGTGTAATCAACAGCTCCTACTACCCTTGGAAATCTACTGAGTCTGTAAAATCCATTGACTACCCTCTTTTCATCAATTTCATTAGTTGGGAATGAAATTAAATTTGGCCTTTGCCTCGCTATGGCTCTGCAAACTTGGTGAACGTAACGACAGGCTGATGATTCACTGACTCCAAGTCGTTGCATCGCAATAACTTCGTCATCATTCCTGTTGTCGTCATCAAATATTATTCTACGGTACATCATTCGTATTAAAACGAAAAACAAAAAAAATACACAATAGATGGAATTAAACAAAAACGAACAGACACTTTTCAATTTTGATTACGTTTTTGAATTATAATATTATACAACACCCACTATCACTGAACTGTATACTGTTCAGTGCCCACTATCAATGGTTGTTTATATCACGGTAAACCGTGATTGTAACTAGAGTTACCTCTTAACACTCAGAAATATTGGGGGTTAAAATCTGGGAGTTAATATTTTCATTAACTTGGAGTTATCACCTAACCCGAGGTCGTAAAATACGTTTTTCTCGCTAACTCCGAGTTACCAGTTACTCCCACTTTAACTCTAGATGGTGAAACCGGCCATTAATATCCGTTGTTTCAAACAAAATGCGGGAACTTGGACGTTTTTTAATTGAGATGCGAAAATCTGTAAAAACGTGCCAATCACTGATAGATTGCTTGAAACCTGAACTGTTTGACAATATTATTAGTAGTACAAAATTTACTTCAGGATATGACGCTACCAACGATACATTTAAATCATCTTCCTTGGTGTTGAAAATAGGAACTAAGTACATTGAAGCAATGCTGTGAAATAACCGAATATTAATTACTAAAAAAAATCAAAAAATCTCTGCATTTCTGAAAATACCGATACAATAATTTCAAATATTAAAATTGTGAATAATTTAATAGAAAAACAGTGGTCATATGAGTGATCGACTAATGCTTCAAAAGAACTGTACCAGCGAAAGTGGAATAAACCAGCTTTATTACCATTGACTTCGGACATAACATTTTTTAAAGATTATTTGTTAAATATGCAGATTATACTTTTAAGCAAATTAAAAAAAGATCCACTAAATATAATTGCATTTAAAGAGTTACAAGATACTGTACTTGCACAATTCATTTTATTAAATCGCAAACGAGCGGGAGAAGTACAAAGAATATTTTTAAGCACGTATTTAAATTGTTCAATTGAAACACCTCAAGAAGAAGTAAAGTCATCCCTGTCACCTGAGGAACGGGAACTTACAAAAAAAAATTAAAAGATTAGTAATACGTGGTAAACGAGGAAGAGGTGTGTCTATTTTATTCACGCCAAAAATTCAAAAATCTTTATCAATATTAATTTATGTTCGATCACATTTCTGTGGAAAAAACAATGAGTATTTGTTTTTTGTTCTAAATACTGAAAATAGTTGTATTCGGGCTTCAGAAGTGATGTGAAAATTGGCAATTGCAAGCGGAGCCAAAAATCCATCAGCATTGACGTCCACAAAATTATGTAAACAAGTTGTAACAGTAGCACAACTTTTAAATTTTAATGAAGGTGATGTGGAACAATTATCAAATTTTATGGGGCACTCCAAAGAAATCACAAATACACAAATCATTTTACAGATTGCCTGACAGTGCTGTATTCCAAATTGCAAAAGTAAGCAAATTTTTATTGATGATGGAAAAAGGTGAAGCTGACCAATATAGAGGGAAAAATTTTGACGAAATTGACGTCAATGTTAATGGGCTCGTCTCGGAAAATAGTGAGAATGAAGACACAGATATCAGTTACTCGGAAAATACCAAAGAAAGTCTACAAGTTTCAAACTCGGAAACAATCCAACCGACTGTTATACTTGATTCAACCCAGC